AGATCCGCTTGCCTGCCATGATTTCAGCCCAGAGACAGATGACAAGCTTTGATGTGGTGGCTGGTTTCTGCTACTGAAGTTGGCATTTTATCTTCTTGCATCAGATTTCTTCCCAAATTGATGTGACTCAGGCATAGGGAACACATTTTCACTGCGATTTTTCTTCCTAAAATATAGATTTTTACTGTACCTTTAAATTACATTGGGCTGAACATTGACCTTGGACCTCAGGGGTTCCTCCTACTGGACTCAGCACAGCAGAAGGTCAGAGACTGCATGGGGGATGCAAGGTCTTAGTAAGAAGTGGTTACTACAGCTGCCTGGTCCTGATGCTTGATCGGATCATTTTAGGCTTTCTTCACCTTGCCTTCAGTGCAATGCCAGATATCTCATGCAGAATGCTGAGTAAATTTTATGCTACAGCCAGGGTGAATGCTATTTTTTTTTCAAGCCATGTGTGGATACACAATTTATCTTGCAAAGGTTTCTGGTTCCTTTTCCTTGTGAGGTGTTTCATCTCCGGTACTAACACTGTGACCCATTGAAATCACCACTTGTTAGCATTTCTGTCTTATGTGTGTTCCTGATTATTTAAATGACTCATCCCTCTCAAAACTGCTTTTCACATAAGAGATGAAAATGAAGGACTGAGCCTCATTTACAAAGCAACGAGACCCCAAAACTCTCTATCTAGATCTGGAGAAGATACACTATAAAAGATTTATTTTTCCTTTTGTTTTTAAAATCACCCAGAAACAAAGACATCTCTGGTCTAATTAGCTGCTTTGGACTATTAAAAAGAATCATGAGAATTCAGGAGCCACCAAGTCTTTTAGATTCCAGGCTTCTAACTCTCGGTTCCGCTTCTGCGTGTTAGTGTGGGTCTAACTCTTGCATCCTTTCCTGTCAGCTCATCTGTGCTTCCCTCTCCCTTCCATAGTAATGAGTGAATGCGCAACGACAGGAAAATATCCACCTGGAAAGAACTCAAGAATAATTTTTACATAGTATTAGACAAAATACTAACACGTGTAGGGGGATTTAAAAGGGGATAGGTCAACACAGACTGAAATTACTGGCCAAGTCTTAACTCAGGAAGAAAAATGTGAAATGTTTCCTAGGACACATTGATTTTAATGTGTCCTGTAAAATGAAAGAGAAATGTACCCATATGTTTCTGGGGAAAAGATGGAAGATGGGGGTGCTCTTTTGTGTGAAAATAACTGGAGATACTTACCAAGGCAACTGAAAAAGAAAATACAGAATACCCAAGCTAAACAGCCACTCAAGATGAACATGGCTTCATGGGCATTCTGACAGGGATGGTATATGACACACTGATTCTTGTTCACAGACCCTACTTATAATATCTTTATAACAACTGGCATGATAAAACATTTCCCATGAATAATTCCCCTTGTGGCTACTTTCTGGTTTTTCTCTTGCACAGCATGTAGATTGCCATTTGCATGTAAGAATGAAGTGGATTAGGAGTCTTGGCTTCCAGCTCTGTCTAGAAATCTCCAATTTTCATTGTTATTTTAGGCAAATCATTTTGTTCTTCTAGTTCCTTACCTCATCTGCAACATGAGAGGAATGAATTAGATAACTCCTTGTTTTTTATTTGGTACAAAAACTTTTTCTTCTTTCTTTCTCTATTTCTTCCTTCTTTCCTCTCTCTCTCTCTCTCTTTCTCTCTCTCTCTCTCTCTCTCTCTCTTTCTCTCTTTCTCTCTCTCTCTCCTTTCTTTTTTTCTGATTTTTTGAGGCAGGGTTTATCTGGGCAGCCTTAGCTGTCCTGGAAATCACTCTGTAGACCGGGCTGGCCTTCAACTCACAGAGATCCACCTGCTTCTGCCACCCTAGAGCTGGGAATAAAAGCATGCCCCACTAGTCCCCAGCTGGTGCAAAAATTTGATTCGTGATTCCAAGTGAGACCACACCTGTCCATAATACCAGTTTAGTTATCTCATCATGAAAGTAGCAATAACAGTAGCTACACATTTGCAGTGTATTCAAACCCCAAATCTACAAAATCCATAACTTCCTTATATTTACTTATTATTTCAATAAAAACAAGTTTACAATTCATGTGGTAAGGTCCCAGTCTCATGAGGATGCCAAAAAGTGATGTCCATACCATCATTCAGTTGGGTATTAGTGTCTATGACCATGTATTTTGAAATTCGCCTTCACTGTAGCTGTCCTAAGAGAAAGATGACTCTCCTGCTCTGACAAACACTCACTGCTTTTGTTCCATGTGTTCAACCAGAGCCCCAAGTCAGAAGAATGTATTTATCACACATTTTCAAGTGCCCTGAGTTTGTAAACTTCGGCAGTGTTTATTTATTCTCTCCTGCTGTGGAAGACACTGTACCCAGGCCTGTTCCTCCATGGTAGGGAAAACTCTCAAACTAAGAGTAGTGAGCAAAGACAGATGAGCCAAAGAGCTGCCGCTCATGCTGTCTCTGCTGCCTATTCCTTGTCTCTTTCTATTTGACTTGGGCTTTGAAGGACATTTGCCAGAGCCAGGCTACTGGGACCCTTGCTATTTGCATGTCTTTTCTCACCTTCAACATGATCTGAACTGATGTTTTCATTGGTTAGAAACAACAAGCACATTCACTGAGAAACTCTTGCTGGAATCACTTCGGATCATCGCAGCTCTTTATTCCCTGTCATAAACTGTAATCCTCCATTTCCCTTCCTCCCACTTCAGGGGAGTTGGTGGTTTTACAGTGGACAGTCAGTGAGATTTCAATGGATGGTGGGAGACTTGAAAGAACTACTGAGTGATTACGTGGCAGGTTGTGGCACTAAGAACAAGACAAAATATTCTTGATCTTGATCAGAGTTTGCCAGTACAAGAAGAAACAGGATTACATAACAGAACAAAGGATTTGGAGCCTGTGGCTATACAGGAGAAGGAATTTTCTTGAGTGAAGACAAATCAGAGTATTTGCTTAATCTGGGGTTTTCTTTATATGACTAAAAAAATACTAACTTGTGGTCTGATTGGTCTTAAATTTAGAAGAGTAGAGAGGCTAAGGACTCTTGCAGATCGATGTTTAATGGAAACATGAAATTTCATGATAACGAACCCAGAGATACCTAAAGAACTAGGCATATGGAACTGTGGACAAGAGATCTGTTGGGTTGGGGGCGACAATAAGAATAATACAAGTGTTTTCAAACAGTTGAACAGGGAGGAGATTGTACATGCACGAGAACTGCTAAAAGACATTAGACCCTACATGTTTGGTTTACAGTGTTGTCAGCTGATTTTCCTAATAGGTAAAATACTGTCAGTCATGCTAGCTGGATGTTCTAGGCCTGGAGAGACCTTAGAAATTATGATGTACATAATGATTCATTAGAACATGACTGATTTGAGAGTTTCAGGGGAGTGTAATTGAAGCTCCATCAAGGTGCCATCAGTATCAAAAACAAAGAGGATTAACGGAACTCATGTATCAGTCAGGGAATAGTGGCCAGCAGTCTCTTTCTTGGAGAAATTGAGTAGGATCTTATACATTTTTTTCTTATAGAGACACTTCTGAGGGCAAGAGAAGTTTCATGTTTCCCATGGGAAAAAGTTTCAGTCAGTGTTTATTGTATCTGGGTCTTTAATTACTACAATATTGTAAGTCCTGAAGGAGCTTGAGAGGGAAGGCGTCTCATAGTGTAAAGGCAGCAGTGTCAACCATCAGGCACCCAGAGATCTGCACTGCAGGAATCCTCAGCCTAATCTGCACTTTGAACCCAAACATAAATCTAGAACAGACTCTAATTTGTTGGTTTGTGCTAACAATAATATTATGGCTTAGGTGGATGTCCATAGGGCATCTTGATTCTTGCTAGCAGCTTTGTCAAGAATGCTGTACGTGTGTTTAGTCACAGAAAACCGAGATCAGATGTGCTAGAAGCAAAGCGCTGAGAACTCCTTTGTGTTGAGGATGGAGCAAATATACAACTTCTCCTTTCCCCTCATTTTTACTCCTTGTAATTTTCTTTGGGCTGAGCCTTTCTGGTGAGAAGCTACTGGACAGCACGTGCCATAGGGAAATGCTTATGAGTCATATAGGTCTGGGAATTCCAAATGTCTGGACATTGGGTTGCTGGTCACAGTTGGTCAACCACTTGGTTTCCACAATCAATCATTCTTGTCCTCGGCCTGTGAAGGGGTTCAGGATAGGCCTATGTTACTATCTAATGGGGACATCCTGCTCTCTGGATGATGAGCAAACCAAGATGGCTTTGGGATAATTCAGAGAAAACCCAAAACAGACCCTGGCAGGTAAAAATTCAGGTATGTAATTATCTAAAGGTTCCCCAGTCTTCAGGACCCTACTACTCAATGTAGAACTCAGCTGTTTCAGGGGACAGCTCCCCATTCTTGTGTTTTATTAGGGTGAGCCCCAAGCTAATGGTTGCTGGTATTGTTTTTTACACTAACCTTGATCTAAGCTGGTGTTCTCAGCAACAGCATGGAGTTTTTAATATTGTTTTGGATCACTGCTTCAAAGAGAAAGCACATTAAAATGGAAATCTCTGGGTTTGAACAGTTCCTTTTCTGGTGACTCTGGGTCTGTGCTTTGGAGAGGATCTAGGGGGACTGGTATAATCAGTGATGAAACTGTATGAGTGAGCATCATATTGTGTAAGGGAATAAGGTAAAGTGCAATCTACTTTTATTTCTTCATCTCTAATAAAATACAGAGAGTATGGACCAGTGTGAGACTTTTCCTTTAGTCCTCTTTTACAGAGCAGGTTTCAAAGAGCATGTAGGTAATATTCTTCAGGCAATGATCTCAGATCTAATCTTACACATAGATTCAATAATGAGGTACCAGAAACCGAGGAGGATCTTGGCCCTTGCCAGAATTTGTATCAGCAAAGTAACATTTGACTTTAGTACTTTGCTAGGGATGTGGTAACTCTAGTCCACCTGGAACCTCTGGAGTGGTATTCACTCTTTATCACCAATTCATTTCATTCCAGATGATCAGCTGAACTCAGAGGAGAAGAAGAAGAGAAAGCAACGGAGAAACAGAACAACCTTCAACAGCAGCCAGCTGCAGGCCTTGGAGCGTGTCTTCGAGCGGACACATTACCCAGATGCTTTTGTGCGAGAAGATCTTGCACGTCGGGTGAACCTCACTGAGGCTAGAGTACAGGTAACTCATGTTTTGGGTGGCAGACACCAAGTATCCCCTCCACTGCGACCGGTCTCTGAAGATGGTTTATGAATACAAGTTGTAGGTTCGGAGCTGAAGCTGGTACTGATAAGGGTTGTACATATGAAGTATGACAACAGGCTTCATATCTTTACTGTGTTTCTTTAGGTTGAATGGCATTTTAAAAAATCAAACAGAATGCCTTTAGGAAGGATAGAATATGCTGTAGGGAGGGCTATTTCTTTCCCCTTGTTGTGAACCTTGTACTTTGGTGTTCTATTACACCATCTACTTGATCACTTACCTCTGCACCCCCAGCTTTCATTTTGAGCCCTAGAGTGGCCATTCCTAGGCTATTAACTCCCCCTCATCTGAGCTTTCTTCTCCAGCTTAGGAGAATAAATAAACCTGCCAGTACCTTGTTGTAAGTACCCATGATTATGAATGGTGATAAAGACTAGAGATGAATATGAAAAATTAGGTTAGGAGTACACTCAAAGTATTTAACTTCTTTTGTCTCCAATGTCTCTATGAAATAAAACAAGTCAAGGGAAGGTAGAGTAATGGTGACTCCTTCAGTTGGAAGAAGAGTGTGAGATTTTCCATATGGGGAGACAGGCTCCCCGCCTCAGAGTTGTCACCATGAGACAAGAAAGAATTGCAGCACCGTGATGCAAGGAAAGACATCTAGGCCCCTTCTGTGACCCTGAGGAAACTGAGACAGAATGTTGAGGATACACCTCTGTGTTGGCAGTCAGGGTTCATATCAGTGCTCCATAGTAACAACAGAGTCCTGCTCTCTCCATCCCATCATGCTCATAGAACTCATAGAATTGATGTTAACTGTTAACTCACCATTGTACACCACCCTAGGCTGCTTTGCATACAGTGCTATGAATTTTTCCTGCTTTCCTAACCATCTGCATCTCCTATTTCTCCAACCTCAGCCTTCAGTGAAATGAACAACTTTAAATGAGCAACACACACACACACACACACACACACTCATGCATACACATAGACAACACACACACAAAACATGTTCTTCTCCTTGTTTTGGCATTTTATTTTCTTATTTTTTGTGTTTTGACTATTGTTTTCATTTTGTTTTGAGAGAGAGAGAGACAAAAAGACAGAACACGAGGTTGCGTAGGTAAGGAGGTAGGGAGGATCTGGGAGGCATTGGGAGAAGGGAAAGAATATGGTCAAAATGTTGTATGTAAAAAATTAAATTAAATTAACTAGTAGCTCCTAGTATCTTAGAGCACCATTTTGTGATAGTGTTCAGAATTTGAAAAAGGAAACATAGATAGAGCAATGGTGAATATTGTTTTTAGAATTCAGAAATGTAAATTTTGAGCTGGGAGATTATCTTGTCTCCAATTCAATTGTTGAATGTTGTGCATGTATATACCTATAACGCATATGTACACATACGTGCATACACGTATATGGTAGGAGAGACAGGAAAATTCCATCTATGTATCACCTGTGTGTCCATTGTCTATCTCTTTTTTTCCTTCCTTTTCCACCACACTACAAACCAATGCCTTCCACTGCTGTGAACATTTCCTAGGTGAGTGGCACAAAATTGTTTCTCTGTATAGTCCTAGGTTTCCCCAGGTCAAACCAATCCCTAACTCTGGGACTCCATATTCAGGACATTCGCCATAACATGACAAGTACTATATGGAGTAATCTGTGGGTCAATTCTCCTTACTGGGTGGTGGAGCCCTCTTGTGTGGGGATAAATTTTATTCATCCATGCAAAATTCATTTCTTCCCTTTTCCTCAAATGCTTATTGAACAACTATGGAATTTTTGACCTGATTTGATTTGTTGGAAATAAATAAGACAGTGGCCCTCTTCTTAACCATGCTACAGTTTGGAACAGATAGAAAAGATGGCCAAACCTTCAAATGATGCCATCATGAGATGATCCCCACAGTAAAGAAATCTGCAAGAATTATTGATAGAGTAGAAGAAAGAATGATCCACTCTGCCCAAGGGAAAGGAAGGGACTTTGCCCTTATTGAGTGTACACTGTGAACCCACTCATAACTATTTGTAAGCATGTCAGTCATTTCTAATCAACTATGGGATAAAGTAACAGACACATTAGATAACAGTTCAATGACAAATCCTTAGTGTAGTATAGCTGGTATTTTTATGCAATTCTTTTAGACCTTGAAGTCTATGCCTTTCACTATGACCCTTCATGGAGGAAGTGATGTTACAATAAAATCTTGGATTTGATATCTGGACAGGGAGAAAGCATACTACCAGTAGAGGAAATGTCTGGTGTAACTGTGTATAGATGGATAGTCACTTCTGTTTGGGAGTCATTTGGTTGCTCTGAGCCTAAGACACACTAGAAAGTAATGTGGTTTTATGATAAACAAAGAGCTAATTTTTTAATAGTATTTTCTTGGTGGTAAGAAATTTTCAGTGTATTCTTCAGTAGGAAGGCAGTAGATGGTATCAAGCAAGACACAGATTATGTTTACATTTAAAGTGCTAACTCTAACAGTGATGTTCTGATCATATTACAAACGAAAGATCAGAGGGCTGGGAAGACAGGGAGGAGATGTCTAATCTCACCTTTGCTGATGTCCATTCAGGTCCTTCATGCTACACAATTCTGTGGGGCGGGGGCAATAGCCACATGGTATTTTAGATACATGTCATCCCCTAGTGCAATTTGTTCCCATACACTGTCATACTTCCTATGATTTGACTAAAACATTTTCTTTGTGTTACTTCAGATGTACTTACACACCTACCTTTAATAAATTTTGAGCTGCTTGAAAAAACAGTCCTCTTCATCCCTTTCTTCCCAGTTTTTAGTACAAGGCCTGCACTCCAGTGGGCATTCCACAAAGAGTCCTTGAATGAATATAAGCGAATGAATAAAATTCCATTGCAGTATAGATCTGTATGGTCATGGGTTAGATATCCTAAAGTAGAAAAATCGGCCAGTTATTATTTGTATAAACTTCAGTATTGTAATCTCACTGGGCATGTTCCTCTACTTCAAAGTATAAATGATAAAACCCAATATGCAGAACTGTTATACTAGGCTGAAACAGTGTGTAAGTCCCAATATAGATTACTAGTCCTGGGAGCAGTTTAATAAGTGATGAGTTTATCATTAGCTATTGCAGATGCTGTCAGATGTACAAATAAATGTCCTCCAGTTGAATTCTCAGGCTAGTGCCTGTTTTTTTGTTTGTTTTTCTACTGAGAGGTGTTTTTTTTTATATATAGAACATAGATAGGTTTCCCTGTCTGGATCAATATATTAGGAGTGCTAGACCCTGATAGCTTGCAAGGGGTCATTGTATGGATACACCCTTTTGAGGGAGAGGGATACCCTGGAACATCTGTCCCCCATTAGTCTTGATCTCTGGAGTCACTATTTGATTTTGCTTCCATAGGGGCTGCCAATTTATTGGGTACTCTTTAGTAGTTCTTTTCCTTCTGTTTTAATCTCCTTCTCTGATGACTTTTCCTACACCTCTTATATGAATCATTTTCTTCTTAATCCTTGTATAAGCTGTGGGCTTACTTTAAATAATAAACACCATGAAAGCAGAGGAAAAGTTCACACTTTGAAGAATTTTTTAAATGCCCTTCAAAAATCATTGTATCCATTGCCAACATCAAGTGAAAACCTCATTTTATTGATTATAACTACAGCAGGGTTTGTAACCTACATTTTGTCATCTTGTCAATTATTCATAGATCCCATCTCTGGATTTTTAATTACTAGAAGTATTTCATGGTCCTTTAGCGAGGGGGGAGGTTAAAATGGGGCTTTATCGATGCTAAGCTCTACCTCTGAAATGTTCCACAGACAGAGCTTTAACTCGGAATCACATAGCCCACAGAGGAAGGATTACATTGCAGTATTCCTGTTGTTTTAGGAAGGGTTCCAGACCCATCCTTATCTTTCTTGGGACGACATTATGTAGTAAAATCAACCAAGATTTCATTCACGTAACTTATTTCTCTTTGTTCTTCCTCTCCTTTTTTATATCTTTCTCCCTTCCCAACAATATTCCAGGTGTGGTTTCAGAACCGAAGAGCCAAGTTCCGTCGGAATGAGAGAGCCATGCTGGCCAATAAAAACGCTTCCCTCCTCAAGTCCTACTCAGGAGACGTGACTGCTGTGGAGCAGCCCATCGTACCTCGCCCTGCTCCTAGACCCACCGATTATCTCTCCTGGGGGACAGCCTCTCCATACAGGTGAATGACTGGCCCACTCTCCCTTGCTCCACTTCCACACGCTTCTCAGCCATCCACCACTCTCAAGGCTGCTTTTGCAGCTGGCTGACATTCCTTACTGGGTTAACCTCTTCAGAGACATTCAACTTGCTGGCACCCCCACATTTTTACAAGAGATTGCTGGTTGCCCCAGGAGCAGGGTTTGGGGCAGAAGAGAGAGGGGGCGGCCATCAGCAATCTCCTCTTGGACTCAGGAATTCTTGCCAAGGTTGCAATACCAGGAAAGAATATAAAAGAACAGATCCTTTGTAAACCGTGTCCAGTGCCCCTCTTGGAACCATTCTGGAACAAAACTCCAGTTTAAAACACCTTTGCTGTGTTATGGTCAAGTAGGGAATCAGTGTGTAATGCTCCAATTATAGGACTAAAAGCACTTTTCACAATAAAACTGATTTTGAATTAAAAGGACAGGAAGAAGAGAGAGAAGGATGGAGAGAGGGAGAGAGGGAGGGAGGGAGGGAGGAGATGAAAACTCAGCAATAGAGAAGTTCAATCACTTTCATGACCCTAGTTCCTTGTTAGTGGGCAAGGATCTCTTAAGATCTCCAAATGCCTTCCTATTTTATTTGTAATTCTTATATATTCCAATGTTTATCCCTCTCTCTCTTCCCCTCCTCTCTCTGTGAGGTGCTTCTTTCTCTCTCACTCTGTGTGGTATCCTTTAAATAAGAATAAAAATACACGAACTGTTATTTTAAAAAGGAATTGCTTGAAGCAGAAAACAACAGAGGACCATTTCAGTCTCTATTTGAAGACTTTTTCACTCCATCCAGGGCGCTGTTCAGAAAGCATAAGTTGATGCAGTCACATCTAGAATTCCTGTACTTAGTACATGATCAGGTTCCTGTGCCCTTCTTTAAATCTAGGAGACACCAGGTCAAGGCTATATATTCTGTCTGGCTGCTTTTTATGGAAGAACTATGCGCATATTTGTTTTTTCTATTAAAAACATTTGTTTATATTTTATTATTAAAGCTAATTCTTGCCCCAAGGAGGGGTTTAAAACTGGTTACAGGAGTTTGGGCCAAGCTAAAGATGTGAAATGCACATTTGGGAAGCACAAGTACTTTCCCACAGTTGGTAGGTGTCAGTAAATCCCAAAGTTTCATCTAAATGGTCTTTTGCTTCAAATAATTTCTACAGAGAAATGCCATGAATGCATTTGGGAGTTTGGGGACATTCCTTGTGTAATTAGCCTGAAGTAGCTCCGATCTCAATGGTAGATGTCCCTTGTCTAGGAGAATGAGAGGGACCTATTCCTGTTCTGGATCTTCAAGCTGACTTTGAAATATCAGCCATGTCTATGTTTCCTACTTACAATTTAAATGCTTCTCCCATGGAACTTACTAAAAACATAGTTTGGAGACTGTTGTGGAATAGCATATTCTTTAATATTTTAAATAAGTGGAAGGCCTGTTCTCCCTACAACTATTGATCTGATAATCTACAGATTCAGTCAGCAGATTAAGATATGGGTGGAGTTCAGGGTCTGCTGCATTAAGATTTCTGGTTTGAATTTGCTTGCAACCAGGAAGTATTGCTCCTTTTTCTGACTATGTCTTCCTTGGGACTTTTTTCACCCCTAGCTATCAACAATCTACATGGCTGCCATGTGGGTCCTACCCATGGAGCCAAACACAGCAAATTACACAAATGGAGATGAGATCCATCCTGAACTAGCATCGAGTTAGGCCAACTGAACCAAAGATAGACAAGTTTCTGCATCCAACAGAAACTAGTAACATGATGATTTGTGTGTGCCTTTTGGGAAATATTCTATTTTAACTGAAAAAAATAGAAAGATTCTAGATACATTTCCAAAATCCATTCATAATTTCAACATCTTGATATAACTAGTTCATTTTATGACTAGAGTTCAATATTTTATATAGGGATAATCTTAGTGTACATTTTTTTGTATCGTGCTTTTTTTACATAAAACTGTATAACCTAGTTCCTTTTACTCATTTCATGATATGCATTTATTTCTTTTACATATAGTATTTGTAAAAAAAAACTAAGGGAAGTGATATATAAGCTGATTGTTTATATTTTGTATGAAGAATAAGTTAATATCAAGTATAAGTAGAAAAACAAAAGTTTAAGGCAATAGTTTAATGAATGATATGTTTCTTTGACTTATTGTTGACTCAAGTGTTTATAATTTGGTTAATTTCTGAAAGTGGCAAAGGCTATTCTGTTACTTGGGGATTTTTTTCGGCTATGTTTAGAATCAAATATATTACAATTTTGCATTTGGAACCTTGCTAGAAAACATAATTGTTGTTAAGGAAATACAAAAGGAAAACAAATGATGAAAAGCAAAGGGAATGAGAGTTGTTGTTGCTGTTGGTACTATTATGTCTCATTAAAAGGCATTTCTCTTGGTTAACCTCTAGAGCACTCCTGTGTGATAGCTCTGTCCTTGCCCTGGCTCAAAACGAGAGGAAACTGAACACTTCCCCAGGTTTAAGTCTCCAGCAAGCAGAATTAGAACAGTATTTCTGGGCCCTGTTTCTGTCCAACACACAGGGATACATGTTGCACTATATTGGAAATACTGAAAAGTATAAGATTGTGAAACTATCTAAATGCTCCTTCTTGGTTCAAGCTTTCTTTCTTGATTCAACAAAGCATGTCTACACCTGGGGTCTCTATCCTGTGGTGTGGGCACCCCAGTGGTTAGATCATAAAACCCAGGGACAGTGAGTAGACAATTTTGTCAGGGAGAATGGTTTTCCAACTTCTATAGCTCATCTCTGGAAAAAGAACAGGAAACCAAATCATAAAAGCAGCTATTTGCCTATGGTCAGAACTACAGGCTGGAAGTAACCACCCCCTTCCTCCTATTTTTGCTGGATGTCTTTACTATTGAGTGTGAAGATAATATAACATATCATCTGCACTGAGAAGGTTTTAGAATGATATTAATAATTACACTAGGACAAAAGGTAAAAACTAGGATGATCCCTGGCAAACAAGGACATTTGGTTCACTCTAATTGTAGCTCAGTATGACCTCACTTATTCTCCAGAGTACACTAGATGGTGATGTCACACAGGCAACCGAGGTACCAGAGGGAGCAAAGGATTTCCTAACACGGACACTACTTTCCTGGTAGAGGTTGTTATTGACTTACCTGTAGCTAACTGAAGCAAGTTTGTGCTTGGGACATAAACCCACTTCTTTTTCTTTAAGCAAATTATGAAAATGAAAATGCACACAAACACTAAAATTATCAAGCCTTACTAGCTTTACAGTGTTTGCCTCTTGGGTAGCAAAAATCAACCAAATCCCATACTATTCTTGGTGATGAAGTAGTGAAGAAATTCTTCCCCAGACACTTCTCTTCCTCTGAGAGGTAGCTTGTGAATGGCGCGGCTCTATCATGCTCGTCTGGAGTGCCATTTATAGAGGGAGGGCTGGACTGGAAACTAGTAGCAAGGGAAAGAAAGGCTGATTACTCTTGTACACTGTCCCTCCCCTCATTTGGTCTTGGTCATGGTGCTGCTGACAGCTGCTCAACGCATTTGGCTCATTTCTCCCTTTCACACTTTCAAAAATAGATCTTCGTCCCTCCCAAGATGTTGTTTACACGAGGGGCTTCATAACGGATTCTAACGGAAGACACTGAAAAGGTAACTTGTCAGATGGGCATGAGGGTGGCTTCTTGGGGTAGGGCTTAAGGGGATATTAGTTTTTGCTTTTTGTTTTTAAGAAACTGGTGACTGATGTCTTAGAAATATAAGTAGTGGAGGTTCCCCAAATCAGAAATTAGAAGTCAGAACTTTAAGAAAGCATGCCCTCTAAGGGAGTGTAATTATCCAGAGCAACTTCCCTCAAACACAGTTATGTTCCAGGATCACTGGCCCGTGCCTATGAAGACTCTGATCCATTAAGTCTACAGTGGGGCTGGGATTCTGTATCTCTCTGTTGTTCCACTCTGAAGTAATTCTCATGATGGTCATATCGGACAGACTTTGACAAGGGAGGCTTTTGATACCCAAATATGAGCCATGGATCAGACTATGGCATTGCCCTGCTTCTGTTGCTTCTCAGGCCAATGCCATAGTTGATTTATTATGTAAGTTTATACTGAAAATTGAGTCAGACATAATTTTTCCCTATTGCATGTCTCACAAGGGAGTTGAAAATCTAGGGGTAAACAACATGGCACACTCAATATTGAAAAGGGGAAATGTAAAAGATCTGGTGGCAGGGGAAAGATGTTTCTACAAAGAGAAGTTGAACATTATAGAGGGATCACGGAACGCACAGTGGACACTAAGGCTTTACTCATGAAACGTGGTCCCACTTGCCTACTTAGAAAAAACAAGTATATATTTTAAAATTCAGCTTCCAAATTTCATGCAGAAAGAAGAAATGATGACTTAAGTTACATAGGCGCACCTCCTAAGGATTTATGAAACCTCAGTTTAGAAGTAAATTTCCCCAGGAAAACTGAAATTTACTTTTCTTAGGTGACATAAGCATTCCTCCATTGTTCTTTCCTTGACAAAAGAACAAGCCAAAGAGATGGCCTCCAACTCCTGTATTTCAGGGTTCAGAAAACTAGAGCCTGTGAAAGATAATCTAGAATGAGTGGAAACTTGGATGCTAAGGACCGTTCACATGCTTCTTAGGCTGTCATAATCATCTTTAGGGTGACGTTTTGTGCAGCTTCTCAACCTTTATTCAAAGAATGCTGACAGCATTGTTTTGTGATTTATAGGACTGACACTATGATTAGAGGTCAAACCATTAAGAGTATTTGCTCTACCTCCTTGGTAATATTTTCACTCCATTTTTTTAAGAACGAACTTTCAGAGCAAGTAGAATTGGTCATAAGTGACTTGTCTCCAGAGGAAACAATTATATGCCCCTGATGGTGGGGTGAGCATGCTGCTGGGTTGCATTTGCTTGGAATCTCCAAATAAGGAAGTGGAAAACCTCATACTTCCCGAAATGTGTCAGCTCTGTGATGTCCCACTGCAGACTTGATGAGTCAGCAGATGGAAGACAAGCCATTCTTTCTCATCTCTAATGTCTCCATGTGCTTTATTTGGCAATTCAGTTTCTTGGTTACAGATACAAAGAGCTTTGTTGAAAATTCAGCACAAATGGTACATTGGCCAACCTTTTTAAGACTTGGTCCCAGAACTCATATGTGCTCCCTGCTTACATGAATGAGAAATTCTTGCCAAATGGGATGTTAGTTGATTTGACTTTCAGTGGTTGTCATGTGTTTAACTGATACACATCACTGAATTTCTGTCTTTTTTTTTCCTTTTTTTAATTCCAGGAAGTTTCATTCGGTGTAGGAACAAGTGGTATTTTTACATGGGCTGGATGACCCATTCATTGGTTGAAATCAATTAATTACCTTTGCTGGTGTCTCTCCAGTGGGACGATATTTAAGGGCTCTCTTTTTTTTTTCTAAAGCAGAGTTTTAGGTGTTTCCATGACACAGAAAACAGATGGTCATGAATAGTCTCTCAGACTGGCAGCCATTCAAGTCTCTCCTGCCTCTGTTGTCACTTAAACAAGCAAGTCTTTCACCTTTCAATGCTATGGCTAAAGCATGACTAAGCAACTTTTGGGACACCAGGAATTAATTCTCTCTTTTCTGACTGCTAACAAGTCTTGTTTGTAGTGGTATGTCAAAAAGATGCCCATTACTTACCTATACTGCATTTAGCTTGAGCTGTAAAAACAGACCCATGTCAATCACCCAGAGGAAAATATATAAAATATGACTGGAACTCATATTTATGGTATTATATATCTTAAACACTTGTTAAGAAACAAAGAATGGAGATGGTGTCTGCTCTTGATAGTCTACATATATGGCTAACAAATACTGAAATACTAAGTTTGTCCAATCTTTGAAAATTAGTGACTTTCCTAAACATTTATCAGGTGAAACTGGTATCACTTACCAAACTTCCCAAAGGAGTGCAAATGCTATTTATTAATATCAACAACTTTCTTAACTCCTGACCCTGTAACTTGAGGGACATCATATATTATTGCTACAGAATCACTGCTAGGATGGTGCTGTCATTATTACAGTTCCACAAAATACAAAGAGACACTGTTCTCCGCTGTGCTCACAGGCTGTCACTTGAATACCTTGGTGAATATTCACTCTCTTGTGCAAAATACTATCTTAATTCTTATTCATTTGGTTTTCAGTGAAAAAGTGGATTGATTCATGTTACTTAGTGTCAACCTACCTTAGAAAGAAACTCAGTATTTCTACAACAGTTACCACACAATGTATTCAGGCTAGAACATCAGATGAGATATAGTAGTAGACTATGAAATAACTGTGGACAAAATGTGTGCTATAGCAGAACTGATACCAACACTATAGTAGACAATTCAGAAAATAGTAACACCAAGTCAGAAAATTAACACATGCTCCCAGATATTAATCCCTTCTTCCAAAGAGGTTCAGTTATCAAAGAAAAGGTGAATTTCTATCAAGTAGGACCTTGCTGCCCAGAATCTCAAAGGATGGGGGATCTCTCTTAGAAACTTGGACCAAGTATCTAGAAGCACAATTATTCCATAACAATCTATAATTTGTAGTAGTAATTTTTTCAAGTTCTCTTAAGAAGTTTTAGCCTTGTGTATTCAGAAGTCACTCAATTGTCTTCCCAGAATTTAACAAGCAACACAGACACCCTGTTACACCAGCTTCTGCTCTATGTGTTTAAAATACCCATAACTGTAGACTATCTCTAGGACTTGATACTCTCACAGAAACCTGGTTGATAAAGGCTAATTTTATTTTATAATAATACATAATTTAGGTACATTGCCCAAACCTGGTTATCTCTTTTCTTAGTTACTATTTTGTTTGCCCCCCCCCCCTTTTCTTAGAGACAGGGTCTCTTTGTGTAGCTTGGCTGTCCTGAAGCTTACTTTATAAACCAGGCTGGCCTCAAACTCAGAGATCCATCTGCCTCTGCCTCCTGAGTACTGGGATTAAAGGTGTGTACCACCACACCTAGAAGCTACTAAATTTTTGAATGTTTGATATATCCTGGAAATTTTTCAACTACAAATTTGAGGTATGCATTGATTTCTAGTAGGATATTAGATAGAAGCATGTAATTCATCTAGAAAGTAAATGATATCTATTTGGCTTTTCCTGTGTTAGCAAATTGTTCTAGTCATAATTTAAGCCTGCTTTAAATGAGTATTCTTCTGCCTCTTGGATGGACAGTGATAAAAACAGTCTGTTTTATTATTAAGCTTTCATATATTAATGTATTTTTACTGTGAAAAGATGTCTTTATAGATCTAATAATATGCAATGATTATGCCCTCTTTTGCTACATCTTTCTGACTCTGTCCTTCCATTAAGATAACAAATTTTAGAGAAAGAACTAGTCCTCAAGAATAAACGAATTCTTTTTAGAGAGAACTACAGCAGGATAATAGATGTCAGGGATGCACAGATCAGTTTAATCATTCTATATCTAGTTATGGCTGTTTATTCAGTAAGGGGTTTATTGAACACCAAATATGTGCTGGATGCGTCAGCTCTACCTGAAGATACAGTGATGAAGAAAGCAGATGTGGTGGTCTATGCAGCTTTTAGAAAAAAATGATAAACTCTGAACAAGTTATTAATTAAATATGAATTAAATGAGTAAAGCAAAAATACAGGGTGCTATAAGAGAACTTAGCCTTGTCTGGGAAGGGAAGTTTAGGACCCAGAAATTGATCAGGAAGAGGGGACATCTAGAAATGAAATGTAAGAATGTAGAATTATTTTGTAACCCGAGTTTTTTCCCCTTTGTTGCAATGTAGACTTTATTCTCACAATGACTTATATCTAGGTAATAAAGCTTTTAAAAGATTTGCTTTATACAATGAGTAAGTGATACGAAACTCAGTGTATTTCTTTAAATCATTTTTTCCTTGGGAAATGCTAGAATCTGAAATAGACTACTGTGAGTCTTAACTCCAATCTTGACTCCAATGGTATATTGCATCTAGGTTTAGTTTTCGTTCTTTCTGATCTTGTCACTTGATCCCATATCCACAAACTCCTGTATGGCAAACAAAATTTCACTGGAATGCAGAAGGCAGAAAAGCACACATCGTTCCATTTATAAGTCTCATCTCTGCTCTCTGTTGAAAAGGATCTTATGCATCTTAGAAACAGCTAGAAGCATTCTACTTAGTCCAACAAGTCTTGTTTTAACTATTTTATACAGAGAAAAAGATAATTTGCATCTACATCTACACATTATTTCTTTTCCTTTAAAAGAGATTTGCGGATGCAATGAATAGAAGCCCACCAGTAATGAGTTCTTGGATAGGTCTTTATAGTCTATGACAATCAAAACTAGCTTCATGTTTCTCTCAACGACATAGACAGGGAGAAACAGTTATGCCTGAGATCAAGAATGGTAAAACTATAACTTGGGAAGTTTATTTTTAAATTTCAAATATTTCCAAGGTGACTCACCCCAAAGGTGGTGTGTGCTAGTCACTTTTGAGAAGCTATAAAAATCAAGACCCATTGACAGGAAAGTCTTGATTTAACCGTGTTTGTTATTATTGTCCAGAGAATCACAATGACAGAAGGGTAAGCTGGGTTGTTTAACCAATTATACAAGTACATCATTCCTTTTAGTATTATTGATTGTCCACTCTAGTTACCTAGAGGGAAGAAGCAACATTCTTCCAGGCGAGTGTTACTTGCTTGCTGATCTCCTTCACTGGTTCCACAGGCTGTTGTATGGGTAGAAAAGCTTAGGCTGTGCTTAACTAGCTGATGAAACTCCTGCTACTTGACAAGCAGAATCTCCTCTTCCCTTAGAAACAAATCATTATTCACTGTATCCAACACAGGAAATACCTCTCCCTACCCTATTTCATTTCCTCTGCTTCCCCAATGTCCTATAAAAGATGGCCACCCTTTTCCAAAGACCTTTGACTAATTGAAAGCTGGGTCTGTAAGAGACCCCAGAGGTCCTCTATCCACCCTACTGCCCTGCCTGCCCCTGTCCTGAGAGTATATCCACCCAGGGCATGGACTTGCAGCTTTATGACACTAATGCCTGTTGTTCTCCCTGCTCTCTCCTTTGTCCCTACAGCGCCATGGCTACTTATTCTGCCACATGTGCCAACAATAGCCCTGCACAGGGTATCAACATGGCCAACAGCATTGCCAACCTGAGACTGAAGGCCAAGGAATATAGTTTACAGAGGAACCAAGTGCCAACAGTCAACTGAGGAAAAAATAATTAAACAGGCCTAAGAAGAAATCAAAAACCATAAGAAACCTATCCTGTTCTGTCATTTCTTCATCTGCTGGAAAAAAATAAAAGCAAACAAACAAACAATGCCAGAACTAAAATATTGGGACCATGGCGGAGAAAAGCAGGAGAGGAACAAAACGAGAATTAGTTAACAGTGGTTCCTTCTTCCTCTCGGATACCATCACCATTTGTTTCTGTGTGTGTTCATTTTGTTTTCCTTCTATCCATGCTTTGCTAATTATACTCCAGGCTTCTTCAGTTAGGCTCAACTCACCCATTCCTATAATTGTATGAGAATTAAAAAAATCTTCAGCAGCCAAAGAAACACACACACACATATGCATATATGCATATAAGCACATATACACACTCGAGTGTGTGTGTGTGCACGCATGTGCACGCGCATGAAAGATTATGTCTCAGTAACCTGTTTGACTTCAGTGCCTTATTCTGTCTCCTTCTAGTATCTCTAGCAGATTTTGAAAATCAAAAGTATTTCTGAGGAACCTGTATGTTGTCTCCATGTCTGTTGGTTATGGTAAGGTTTTTCTGTCAGCTTCAGGAAAAAGGAATGTACACATGTTGTGGTGTTTGACCTGTCCGATTGATGTGGTTGGCCATGTCTGGTGAACTCTGAGCTCTAAGGTCTCAAGTGAATCTGTGGACTTAAGCTCTAAGTGCTAGGTTATAATGTCGCCATCAACACCATCCCTCATCTAAACCAAACAATAAACCATCCCAAGTTAAAGATATCTGTTGTTTTTGAACATTTTGAACAGATGCTGTCATTTGCTCTTTGGTAGAAGAAGTACTTTTGGTTTTAGAGATGGAGAGAAATTTTTGTAGTAAATTTTGTAGAAAAATTTTTTGGGGGAAAAGAAATACTGAATTGAAAGGCATAGCCTTTATCTCTTTGGTGCCTTAGTGGTGGTCAGATGCGCGCGCACATGCGTGCGCGCGCGCGAGCACACACACACACACACACACACATTCTGTGTATATTTATATATATATTATATATAAAATATTGCAAGCTTGAGTTTGCAGTTTCTCAAACAGTATAAAAGCAAACTTTACACCATCACTGCTGTCCTTATCTACACAGTAATAATATATTAATGTGGTATCTTGTTGTTTTCCATACTCTATACAAAATTCTCATTAAGGTCAAAGTACAATTTGCTAGGAAACTGTGTGAGAACAGCTTTCATTTTCATTTTAGGGCTTTAAAGGAATTTGGAATTATTTAACAATATAAGGATGATCTTGAGTTTGGAGCCTGATCTCAAGAAATACACACAGAAAGCAGGGGCATGGTGTAGTTAGCCATCTGCTCTTTCTCCACTCCATAGAAATATGAAAGACAATTAACATGTTTAACTGAAGTTCTTAAAGCGTTCTCTAAACTCCAGAAAATTAAGGACAATTATGCTTTCATATTTTAGTATTTTTGAAATGGGGATTAGTATGTAGGGTGGGAGGCAGGGCAGGTATTTTTTTGTTTCTCTTTGTTCCCAGCTAGGCTTTGTCAACTTTCCTGGTGAACTTGACCAAACCATGCTGTGTCTAGTTTACCTATTTATAAAATGGATTTAACAATTCTTACATATCTCACAAGGAAGCTGTGAGGCTATGTTCATTTGCTTCCTCCCTTCCTCCCTCCCTCCGTCCCTCCCTCCCTCCCTCCTTTCCTCCTTCCTTTCTTCTTTCTTGTTCTTTGTCTGTTCAGCACTTTGTAGCTATGGGAGGAAAGGGACTTTAAGAGCACACAATGTTCATGGATTAACAGTATCTAGAAGCTTTGTTTTTGAGCAGGAAATGGTATCTGGCTGTACATACATATAACCTTGTATTTGGAAATGATAAATAGGTTTATATTTTCAGATATTTCAATGATCACATCATTTGACCAAAGAATAATTTAAGACACAAAGTATAGAGATATTTTTTAACTTATATTCTCATCAACAGCTTGACAACCATAGTTCTCAGTGAATAAAATGCTTCAGATTGGCTTTGGCCAAATAAGTCAACTTTGTAATATGAGTGACAGGAAAAATATTTGGAGTATAAGATGTACTTTCAGTATACATTTTTATTTCCCTTGGCATATCTAATTGAGTTAATGGTGATTTTTTTCAGTCTAACAGTTACTGATCTGAAAATATATTTCAAATGATTTTGTACATTGTTAATAATAAGAAGGAAGACCGTCATGTGTACTTCAAGCTCATGTAGTGAACCCTTCTCGATAACACCCATTAAAACATTTCTTTCAGAATAGTTCATATGGTTTGGATGAACACACATTACATGTTTTTAAGGAGTCTTTCCACTCATGCATTCGTCCCACTAATTGTTGTGTATTATCAGGTTTCAAAGGAACAAGCAGTACATCCTTATTGTAAAAACGTCCTTTGATTTGTAAAGTGAGTACAAGTCCAATAGACTGGTAAATTAGCGGGATTTCAAGTTTGCAGAGAATAGCTAAGATATTTGGGTTATAGCCAAGGAAAAGAATTTAGAAATAAGCAAATTTTGCTAAGGAGAGTAGATTCATAGAAGAGAATCATACAAGAAAGTTGTTTGAATTCTTAATCCTGATTCTATTTCCAGTGACCATCAAAAGAGCCTGATCTATAAACTCAAAGGAGAAAGTGGGAGGCTTTACCTAATGCTTCAAATCAGTAGTTTCTAGGAATTCATAGAATAACCCTTGCTAGTTAGTCACAGGAATGCCTGTTCCCAGTGGATCCGCACCACAACATCTTTATCTGATCGTTTATCTGGATACATCTCTGAAACACTAGCACTCTGTTTTGTTCATTTAGGATCCATTTTTAAATTCGACATACGTTTAACAAGTGATTTGGAGGATTAGATTTCTAGCTTGTAAGTCAATTGACAGAGGAGTGTCTCAGTGCCACAGACTCAAGGCATACACCTGTTACTCTCCACCAAAATATACACAGATGAAGACATGAAACTGTCATTGTCTTCAATCCCTTCCCAAACAAGAAGCTAATTAGTAGAGTACTTGGCGGGTTAAATTAAACCAGAAGTAATGACCTACATAAATGACATATGGTAATAAAGATCTCATAAGAAATGTAATATGTAAATTATATCTTGCTTTATGATGTAAAATATACATTGTTTGTGCTAGAATAGAAATGATTTCTTTTCAATAAAATGAGAGACTGACACTACAATGTCTTTTGTTATAATACACTGGACTCAGATGATTATTTTTCCTTTAAAATTCCAAAATGCAGAGCTGCTTGGATTCAAGATGGCCCTGAGAGTAGTGAAGGTAAGAATGTTTTATAAGCAAGAGAAGATTTTATCAAGGTATGATATTGTATATTATTCTTCAAAAGCAAAAGTAGTAATTGGAGGAAGAAGGAATAGCTGTATGTACAGTAGGAAGATGAGGGCAGAACTTCTGATAAAAATTTAGCAATTTTACCTATGCTTTTAGCATTCACAATATTACATACAATAAGACAAATAGTCTTCACATAAAGCACAAGCTTTTATTTTAATATTATCAAAATGAAGCATTTTAAGCAACCATTGTATACAGTGTGGGTGTGTGGCAATAAAGAAAACAAAAACCACATCATGAGGAATAAATTGTTTTTATACCAGTTAAAATCTGGTCAAAAAGGCAACTTGAGAATAAACAAGTTATGCGACAATTAAGACAATTAGTTAAGACAAATAGTTGTTAAACAAATAGAGTGCATAGAATAATTTCAGGAGAAGAAAGAAAACATTGAGCTAGAGCGGGACAAGAGGAGACAGGGAGAAGCAAAGGGAAGCAGGAAGGAACAAGGCAGGATGCGACCTTGAGGGAACTGGACTCATCAATCTGTTGACCTTTAACTTTCAGATAAAAGACATGAACCTTTTTTCGGGCCTTAAAGACCCATAAAAGGTTTTAAGTAAGAATGGCTTCTAAGCAAGAGAAAAAAAATTTAAAAACTTGCCATTTTGGCCTAACACTTTTTGTAAACAGGCAAAGATGAGCTAGGGCAGGGCAAGCACTGGAAGACAGATGTGACTTACAGGGAATGGGAAATAGGGAGAGTCTTCCAAGAAAGAATCAATAGGACTGCCTACCAAGAAGAAAAGAGAGTCGAAGACATCACTGACCAAACCCTGGTGACGCAGTAAGTCATTGATAAAACTCATCAAAATCAACCAAAGAAGAGAGGCTCAGTCATTCACTGGGAAAGATGATGCAGTCTTAGATTGTTAAAGCTGCCATCACCAAGCAGAAGCTCCTGGTAAGCAAGGGCATGAAAAGCAGGGACTGGCCAGGGGCATAGTCAGAAGCTTGAAAATGACAATTTGGCATACAATTAGGAATGTGTTTTTCAAGATGAGAAACTGCCCTGTAACACAGAAATAATTTTAATAACTGATTTTTGGAAGTAGTTTCAACACAGGAATAAATACTGAGCTTTGAAGAGTAGCTACAGTCAGGAAGAGGGCTATGGAGGGCTGCTTCTAAGAATCTGGGGAAGAGGCAAATCAAGCCTGCTTATTATCTCAGAGTTAAGGCACTTTTAACCCTTGACCATCAGGAAAACACATGGAAACTTCTTGGAGGCACCATCTCCTCTCAGTGACAAGAAAATGATAAGCGACAGTTGCTGATGAGAATCCTTGGTGGGGAGGATGGAAATCAGTATGGAGCCTTCTCAAAAAACAAAAAAGAGAACGTGTGTATCATCTGTAGTAAACATGTAATTTACAGTAACTAAGGTTTGGAATCAGCCTGGATGATCCCCAAAAGAAGAATGGATTTTAAAGATATGATATGTTCATAGTGGAGTTTCAGTCATCTATAAGGAAGGATGAAATGTTGTCATTTGCTGGAAACTAAGTGGAACTGATGATTATTTTAAGCAAAATAGTATTACATATTTTCTTTTATGAATTGTGTCACCATTCTAGAGATGGTGGGACCTTGGAGAAAGGAACTGATAAATGAGGTGGACTAAAGTCTCATGCAATAGTAAACTTTATTCAGAATCCCAGACAATTTATACTCTGAGGGTTAATAAAGGCCACCTGAGTGATGCTTTCATGAGTTCCAACTGCATACAGTCACAAGGACAAGCTGTAAGTAGTAAAATCATGTTTTTCCATAGAGGCATATAAGGGATCATTTAACCATTTGACTGATATCAGCAGCAAGAAATAATGAATAATCTGATGTAAACTCACTCCTATCCAATACGTCTTGGAGGAGCATGGAAACATGCCCAAGAATAGGTCTGTTTCTTGAAGAAACTGAGGTCACAATTCTCTTTTCTTAAGTGCTCTCACAAGAACTCAGAATTCTCCTCACACAACTTCATTTCAGGACTATTCTCCCACAATATGGAATCTAGATTTAAAAAAAACACAACGTAGGATATATTACTGACGTATATTTATGCTTATCTTGTGAATATGTTGGTATGCTCATTTTGATTTTTCCTGAGGGTGAAACACAGTCTCTTATTGGATGCCTGTAATGCTGGTATAAATTACAAATGGTGTGATTTCACAGTGTGATATAATATGCTTATATTTCATATCTATGTGAATTACCTTGTCAAATAAGATCTCACATTGCATTCTAAAATGGTGATTATGAGGAAACCTGAAGTCATTCAAAAGATGTAAAAATTAAAAGATAAGATCTTATACTGTAAAACATGAAAGCCAGAAGATATAACCATAGACTAACTTCAAATGATTCTACTAAATTGTAACCTTACTAAAGATTCCAAGTCTGATTGGTTGGAGACCTACAATAAGAACTTTGCACTGGATTCTCTCCAGGTGAGGTCCCACAAATCTGAGTAAAGAAATAGTGACTCCTCTCTATGCTAGTCTTTTGTTTACTCAAAGCCAGGGAGACATCAAGGTGGCATGAACAGATCACCAGCTTCTTGTCACCTTAGTATAGTGGTACACTGTGGACTTTGCAACTCAAATTTCTTTAAATTTTTAAATCTTTTCATGGAAAAAAATCAAACTTGGAAAAAAATAGGGAGAAGAAGAAAAGAAAAGCCAATTGTCCTGCTATCTATTACCCAGAGCTGAGAAGGAGAATGGTGGTGAATTTCTCTACTTATGCTTCAGAGTGTGACCTATAGGTCTTACAGTGGCTTCATGCTGGGCTACCCAGCTGAACTCTTAAAAACCCATTGCTAAACTAAGCATCCCCTGATTTTGCCAAGGAAAATAAATCTATTTTCCTACTTCCTGTGCTCTGTCAGGGTAAAAACCATAAAAAGGAGCCAAAATTCCTCCACAGTAGGCTTGCAGACCTAAGGAGACCATTATTTCCAGTGCAGTAAAGCAAATAATCTTTCTCAAGCTGATGTTCTTGCTGACCATGTTGAACATTGAGAAATCAGAGAAATCTTTCTTGAGAAAATAACATAGAATTGATCAGGTAACTTGGTCTGAGAAAACAGGAAGTGGCATTCAATTGCTGCAGACAGTCAAGAAAGGATGGCATTTCTAGACCACACTGGTGAAGGTGTGTGTGTGTGTGTGTGTGTGTGTGTGTGTGTGTGTGTGTGTGTGTGTAACCCCTGGAGACAGTGATTATGTTTATGCTTATCAAAACCAAAGCTAGGTTTCTCACATAAAGACAAAGCCAGCCTAACACCAATGGACTTTTTGAATTTTCATTCTTTTCAAGGCAGAGGAGCTCAAGTTGGGAAAGGTTAACTCAATACTATTAAGAGGTCTTTAGTACAAACACATTCCCTCCATTAGGATAATGTTTTCCTCAAGCTTGTCCAGGAATAACTCCTAACCTTCTCTCCTAAGATCCCAAGGACACAGCTGATTTGTTTTCAGTTGGGGGGCAATGAAATGTTGAAATGGGAAACACATGTCTCTTTAGTCTGGAGGGGACGTGTTTTCCAGGCCTCCACTCAGCAGTGACCTGACAGCCACAGAAAGTCTAAACAAGCAACTTGCAATTAACTCCTAGTAATAATTCTTTCTAGGGTCAGGATGAATTTTAATTCTGTGTAAAATTCTTATTGTCTAGAACAAGCTTTCAAGTGTTCTTTAGTTTGAAAAGAAGGGAGGGCTCTTCAAACCCTTATTTAATTGTTACTTTCCTCTTTCTTGGAACACAAAATAATTTGACCTAACTGCTCCACCCAAATGCCCATGAGCCCACAGTGCTGTCCATTTCAGGTATTGTTTCCCTGTGGGTTTTTCTTTCCAGCATTAAAAAAAGGAAGTTATTCTGATTTTTTTCTAATCTTGAATCCTAAGTAAAATCTTTAGAGGGAACCAAACTTAATACAGAGAAGTTGCTAAGTTAAAGGATCTCAGGAAGCGATGTCATTGAAGAGTTTGAGACCACTTTACGCACCTGGACTGGAGGACGTGAAGTGACAGGGGATCATTGTGCCAGCTCTGCCTGTAGCTGCTGCCATGGTCCCAATGTGTGTCCATAGCCCCATGTGAAGCTCGTGACTCATTCCTGTAAATAAATTAAAAACTGGTACGTTTAATCACATATTGTATCATGTTCACTGAGTAGTGTCTCAAGAAATAACAATCTGGAAGCAAAACTGATCCTTAAATTGTTTACACCAGTATGTGATTGTATATAGTGGTGCTATTCATGTTAGACAATATGAACACCAGAGTCCTTCAATATACCAAATACTGCTCCCTGGTGTCTCTGGTGTTTCTACATTAGCTATAGGCTGCAGGCTTTTTTATGATACCCAAAACATATTCACAGTCTTATTAATGAATATTGATAATAAATAAAATCTATTAATCAAACATTTTAGACATTTATAATAACAAACCAAGAGTATACAGGAGGTCAAAAATGCATTAAGAATTTCTCAAGATATCAAATTCCTGAGAGTTCCCAGTTCTGATGTCATGTTCTCTAAATACCTAAGATTAACACCTTTTGATTTGAAACAGCAGTAGTCCTGGATGAATTTAGAGAGAAACACCATTCTCAAATGGAACACTAGGACCCAGATGTTCAGTGCACAAGCAAAGAAAAGTGAAAATATCTTGACTTTAGAAACAGAGAAGTTAGAGATAGGCATCCTAGGTGGTCTTGGAGAAGCCACTGGGCTCAGGAGACTCTTTTACAAAGTGGAAATGTTAACACTTGCCGGATTGCTGTTAAGATCAAATTAAGGTTAGCCTT